ACGGGCCGGACAAGGAGAGCATTAATCAGAGAAGCAACCAAGAGGCTCATGGTAACTCTGGAGGAGCTGCAGAGATCCATAGCTCAGGTGGGACAATCTGTCCACAGGACAACTATTAGTCGTGTACTCCACAAGTCTGGCTTTTATGGAAGAGTGGCAAGAAGAAAGCCATTGTTGAAAGAAAGCAATAAGAAGTCCTGTTTGCAGTTTGCCACAAGCCATGTAGGGGACACAGCAAACATGTGGAAGAAGGTGCTCTAGTCAGTTGAGACCAAAATTGAACTTTTTGGCCTACATGCAAAACATTATATGTGACAGAAACCTAACACTGCACATCAACCTGAACACACCATCCCCACTGTGAAACATGGTGGGGATGGTGTGTTCAGGTAATATGGTAAAAAAATCCCAAGTGTCCTAACTTTGTTTGGGCTGTGTTGCAGCATCTTAAAATGTGGTTTATTGGTTTACTACATGAAATAAAGTGAATACCAGGTTTTTGCATAATACATCACATATAGAGGTCTATATTAATGTTGGACTGTTCATTTTACATTTAATGAATATAACATAATATATTTTATGCTCTTGTCACACAGTCCAAGTGATGTCTGTTTTATACACATTGAACAAATGAACCTGAGGCAGGAAGGGAAGTGTGCAGGGAGACAGGAGTGTGACCACCAGCCATCTGTTGCACAATATTCTGAAGTAGTTGCAGCATCAATATGTTATGTGGCCTTATGAGCTACAAAAAATGATTAGATTGTGTTTTTTTTAATTAATGATTTGTTGGTAGATTAACTTGTCACGAAAGTTTGACAAATCAAACTGGGGCTGCTTGACAATTTTGGTTGTAACATGACAGAATGTGGAAAAGTTCAAGGGGTATGAATACTTTTGCAAGGCACTGTAGGCTATGAGAATGGTCTGTTTTACTTTGAACAGTGTATTCTGAAACATTCATAGCTGGCATCTACTAGGATACCACACAATTGTAAAGTAAGGTGAGCTGCCTCAGGTCAGCAGCAAAAGCTATTTTACTATAGGCTGTTTTACTCCATTGACAGGTTGTTCTGTTCTGTTCATGTTCTCTTGTTTATGCAATATTTGCACTTAAAACTATTATTTTTAAATGGGTTATAGACACTGATCTATTCTAAATAGCCTAGCATTTTAATCTTGTCAGTTACTGGGTAATGGTTGGTTAATAAGTGTTGGCTATCAGTCAGAAAAAATGGAAAATGTGCATCCCTATTAGCTACACTGCAGCCGTTCTAGAGGAAAGGCCTTAAGGAAAAAACACAGCATATAAAAAAGAAACGACAATGATAAAATAGAAACAAAACATCTCACCAAACCAAGGCAGCTGTTTTAAGATAAAACACTGTACACTGATGTACACTGCCTAGTCTTCCGTGGAATTACATTACATTATGATTCTGCAGCACACTCCCCATTCCCCATTATGTAAGTAGGCCTTAAAAATTGTGGGTTGGGGAGGTCAGTGGGCACATAGTATGTCTGACTTCTTGTTATACAGAACATGCTAGCAAATAGTTGCCTATTTCCACATCTAGCAGATGAAGAGCAACATTAACCTTCACTTGGAGTCTTATTTGTGTCCAGTTGATGAATGTTGCTCCAAATTCACTCCACTTTTGATTTTGCTTTGGTCTCATCCAACACTTATGAGGAAAAACTTTTAACAGAGTGGCAGCACAACAGCAGGGCTACAATTCCAAGGTTTTTTAAAACCACACAACAGAATGTAAAGACCTTCGAATCAAATCTAAAATTTAGCACCTCAAACTCATAATCAATTTCATTTGCAAAGTACAATGCCATCCATTCATCCAGTAAAAGTGTAGAAATGAATAATTCTGTCTGATGTTCAGAATTACAGTACTTCAGTTTATAAAAATCCTCTGTGATGTTTACTTTACCATAAGAAGAGGCATTGAAGAGTTCGACATTGAAGAACAAATAGTTGCCACTGGTCAGATGTCGTCTGTGTGCAGCCAGCATGATCTCTCGAATTTTGTCTGCTCCCATGCACATGATCACCACTGCAAGAGAATATCACAGAGACAAATGGAGGTATAGTCATTACTGTCTGCAGTTTGCATGAATACTATAAAATATAAACTGTAATAACAATATTCATTATATCATTCAGGGAAGATTTTAATCAGTTTATTATTGACATTTAGAGATGTGAAGCCACTTTTGAGAAACATTTTTCAAATAAATGTTAAATAATAAACAACTGCCAGAAACAATGTGTGACTCAATGACAGAAAGCCTACAGGCTAGGCTTTTTCCTTTGTCATCATCCTCCAGAATGTTCATATCTATTACAAACCATAGCTTGTAATTTCATTGTGTTGGCCTTTGAACTTGGACCACCAAAATCTAATCAATTCGTCCTTGAGTCCAAGTGGACACTGAGATTTGAAGAGATGAAATTCACTAAAATGGGACAGAGCAACAGACACACAGCGTGAAAGCATAATGCCTCCAGCCACTATTATTGTCGTCATGGAGGCATAAAAATCAATGCAGACAGTAAACTTGGCTTCACACATTCTCTCACAAATGGGGGAAAAATATAGAGGGAGTGGTTGTGGTTTCCCCCATCAACTGACAAAGTTTATAGCTTTTTCTAGCTATTTTTTTTTTTGTTATGTTAAGTCCTCAGTGATCATGAATTCTGTGATTGGAAAAATGTTGGACAATAGTTTGAGAAGCACAAAATACGGCAGTGGCATCGCAAAGCAGCCCAGGCTTTAGCCCAGAAGTTAGGCTCATAATAAAGACTCTCAACTCAAGGAAAAATGCATTGAGTAGGAAAAGTATAGGCATGAACTTTCAAAGTGTGCTGTGTTAGTTGTTGGATAATGAGGTCAACTGTTTTAAGGGGACAATGAACAATTTGAGTCTCCTCATAACTGGAATTATCTTGGGATCTTCTAGCTTCTTAGTAAGCATGACCCATTTTCAAGATCCTGCGATGGATTGGCGACCTGTCCAGGGTGTACCCCGCCTTCGCCCGATTGTTGGCCGGGATTGGCTCCGGCCCCCCTCCCGTGACCCCGTTCAGGGACTAAGCGGTAGAAAATGAATGAATGATTTATATTTACTTACAGTAAATGTTCATTACATGCTGAAACTGGCACAGTGTATTTTTCTTGAGCTTCTTCATCTAAATACTCAGGTCCCGGTTCCAAAATATATTACATTATTGATATGAATAAAAGAATAACTGGGAGCAAGACAACACACTCTCGGGACTATAGATTAATTACAGAGCATTTACTAAAACTTCGTATCTGTATGTGAATACACAGTTTGTGTAACCAGTCTAATTTAGATATCCCTGCTTTAAAATTTAATACCACTGCATTAATAAGCATATGCACAAATTAATTATTCAGTTATCAATTACAATACTGCATTTAAAGTGTTGATAATTAATGTGTAATTTAGTTACAGTGTACATAGTTGCTGACAGGGAGTTGTTTGATGATAAACATAACTAAAATTACTACTGGTTTAGTGTGACCATGAACAAATTCACAGTCACAGGTAGATTATTATAATGTTTGTTTCTGAATGTGATGTTTCATTTTAACAGGAACACAGTGGAGTAGAGCAGGAGTCTCAGGTGGAGACACAGGATCTTAGGTAAGATCTTACCATAGCTTTGTGATAATATCCAACATGAAAAGGTATGACAATAAGCCCGATTTTTGTTTGGGACTTACTGCATCTTCATTTTGTGTCTTTTTATTAAGCTGCATAAAACACTGCAGAAAGCAGTCAGTCAGGAACAGAGGATACATCATGTCAGTTGAGTCATTTTTCTGAACTTTAATAAAGTTACATTAATGGCCTTCACATTACAGCAGTAAATAGTTGTCATATAAAAAGGGAAGAGAGGGGAGTGTTAGGGGGCCCAGAATTATATTCTTTCATGGGGCCCAAAGTCTGCAGTGGTGCCCCTGTAAACATGTAATCAGTTAAAGTATTGTAATGTGCAATGTGTCTGTGTAAAAACACAGAATTTAATTTTTTTTTCACTGGGTTGATTTAAACATTTCCTTTGGTGTCTCACTGATTAAAAAATAAATAAACCAACAAATGAGTTCGCTACACATACGAGGGCTGCAATTGAAAACACAGTAACCCCAGCATCCCTGTTAATAAGGAGAATTCAGAGTCTTGCTGGAACATTCCTCAAAACTGTGTCACTTAAACAACCTCCTGAAATATCCCTTGAGTCAGTGGGACATACTTCAACTCAGTCCTGCCAGCACTATAGCACCCTTTAATTACACTGGGCTCTACATACACTACTGGCCCTGTCTTTGCTCTGCAAGCCATTCCGTGGGGCAGTGCTTGCAGCCAGAAACATTTAAAAACTTCTGAATTTTCCTTTTTGCTAGGGCAGTGATGCTAGTTACAAATCATCTCAGGAATGGGACAGCACAAGGTGCACTTATGAGTGCCCATAGTGTATTTCAACTATCCTGTGTTAGCTATAAAAGTGAAAAGCTGGAGTATATGCAAATACCCGGGCTCTAGTACAAATCTGTGATGCCATTACTCCAAAAACAAGGATTTATGTTGTTGGAAATTTCAGAGGAGTAAAGGGGATAAAGAAAAAAACAAGAGTAGTATAGCGCAAGCTCTCTTTTGAAAACAAATCTGCATCAGTTGGATAGATCGGACTGTGAAATATACACAGCAAATGGCATTGATTACCAAAATGACTGCTTGATAAGTTGAGTGATGGTCATCCTGTTTGTGGTTATGAACAGTATTGCCCATAATAACATATTGCTGTCTTTGCTCTTTTAGGCTGAACCTGAAGAGATTTGTGGTCATACAGTTAAAGTTAGTCATTCCCTAACAACTATGTGGGAGTCCAGGGCGAGTTCTCTCCAAAAACAAAGACTTCATACATATCTCAGAAGGACTAACATCAGAAGTGGACCAGTCATGAGGAGAGGTGCATGATTTCCCCTCCTAAGTGGTTTTTACATGTTGTAATATTGTGTGGTTTTTACTACAAATATCGGTAGCAAATAAGTATCACAAGCAAAGCATGTAGGTGATAAAATGACTGAAAGTGATGTGGATAGAAGTAAGAATTATGTGCAATGTCAGCTGAGAATTTTGTTAGTTTCATTCTAAAAGTTGTAGAAACAGGAAAGTAATGTAAATGATTTTACTACTACAAAAATGTTTCACTTCAGATACATCTGTCATGCATTCACAGACAGAAGCATGAAAATGCTGAGGGAGGGATTTTCATCATTAATTATCATTAATATCATTAGTAGACAATAGACACTGAATTATCATTAGACAATCATTTTAAGAAAATCTATTTCTAAATATATAATTACCTTCTTTGCATCATCGGGTAACATTCCAGAAGCACAGAAACCCTAAACATATCTGAGCAAGACATAACATATCTGGAGTTCCATAGTGGTTAATACTAAATGAGGTTCTTGAATAATAAATACAACATTCTGCTAATCTGGTAAATTCATGACCTTGAAATTTACACATCTAGTTAGAAATTTGGTGCCAAGTGTGTAGCATGTATGCTCAGGTGGGTATAGAGGTGCAGAGAGTTGTAATAATCACTCCCAGCCAGTACATGTTGTATATTGGCATTAAAAATATACAAAATGTACTGGATTTAAAACAGGAATGTTAGTCAAATACTAATTTCTAGATAAATAAAAAGTATGAGTAATTCATACAGTATCAGTTGTCAGCTGATTTACAATGTTTGTGAAAAGCCTCTGCTCATGTTCATTAAATCCCTGCAGTATCAGAAGGCAGCTTAACATTAGTGATGTGCTATAGCACTCATTTCCTTTCCAATCCAATATCAAGTAAAACCCAGAGTGATATCACCGATACCAATATTACAAAAAATGACAAGGGAAAAGAGTTGGGTCCCATCAATAGAGATTGATGGAGAAGAGATATAACATGTATTTGAGGGATTTCCACTTTTATTAACAAAAAATGGTGCCACCCTGGTCACATTACTGTGAAAGGACCTTTTGTAGCCAAGATTTTGAACTGGAGCCATGGGACAATGTCCATACTACATACCCAGGAAGTAGGGGGACAGTTCACAACATTCATGGTTCAGTTCTTATCTGTCAGGGTTGGCATGTAAAGCTGCCGATAATGTCAAGGGGTGAACTCAATTATAAGACCAGACAAGGTTTAGCAGAACACTGTCTCTTTAATAAGAGCACTGGTAATGAACAAAACGATACAGAAAACTGATTAAACATGAAACACACTCTCAGGTCGGTAATACAGTCCAGGGTCAGAGCCAGCAAACTTATACATTCAAGGTTTCCACTAAAGCACGGTCAAAAGGGAAGTCCAAAAGTCGAGACATAGAAAACACGGTCGGATTCAGGAGGGTTAGGCAATACTCGGTGGTCAAAAGGTAAGCCGGGGTCAGAGCTGGAATCACAGGAACAGGTAAAACACTGGAAAGTCTGAACAGGAGTTAGAACGATCTGGCAGCTTCCCACAGGGTGAGAAGCTGCTATATGCTGTTTTAAGCAGGTGTGAGTAATGAGAAGCAGATGAAACCAATGTGGGTGATCAGACAAAGCTCCCGGGAGTCAGGGTGAGCTGGGGACAGGAAGTAGTGTCAAAATAAAAGCATGAGACCAGAAAAAGGCGGGACAGAATCATGACACATATCATGGTTTTTGGTTCTGTTCAATAGGTTTTTGGCAAAAGAGGGAGAGGGTATTGCCAATTTCAATGTGCTTTTCATTTAGTTGGCAAAGGTTTTTTTTTTATAAATTTGCCAAATAAACTCATGACTGCAAATTCACTTCAATTGTGATGCTGCAGCACATTCTGAAAAAAGTTGGGACAGTAAAGCATTTAACATATTGCTGTTCCTTTTCACAACACTTAAAAGACATTTAGGGACTGAAGGCACCATTAAGTGTGTCAGGTGTCATTTTGTCCCATTCTTCCTGCAAACAATTCTTAAGGTGCACAACAGTCC